GGGAAAACTAATAATACAAATTGAACTTGAAAAATACAGAAGAAAGTTCATTGATATCAACATCTTTTTCTTTTCTGTTGAACCATGCATTTAGTACTTACTTGTTTAAGGAATGAGTGAAGCCAATATACTCTTATATCCCAGACAGAAATCCACTTACAATTAAACCTCTAACTAATAAATTACATGGGGGTATTTTGGTCATCTAAAATGATAATAAATCAGATCTTGAGCTTGATAAGCCAAATTTACTATTACGGAATATGTGGTGAAGATTCTTACCTGAGGTAAACCAGGAACCAAAAAGTAGAAACCTTTAATTGGATGATTAGCCAGAGACATCTTCTCCACGGGACCAATCATATTTGAGATTACCATGCTCGAGTTCTTCAATGTGCGATGAATGTATCTGCTGGCTGCCTGCAAAAAACTAACAATATGTTAACACTAAAAGAAACAAATCTGAATTTGAGCTCTGAAGGAGATTGAATTAGTTCAAATTAATTGGGGTCGTTAAGTGACGGCGTAACGTAAATCATATTGTAGTCTTCACTTTACTAACCTCATGGCTTCCAAATTTGTTCACAATCTCCAATAGCCTACTAGTGAAATAAGCAGCTAAAGAGTTTTTCTTCCTGTTTATCATTTTGTGTGTGTTCCTGATAAAGTCCTCCGCATTTGAGAGTTCAGTTAAATTGGGTATGGGTACATGCAAGAATGTAAAACGATTTCCCCATGGCATCTTGCTGTTGGGTTTGATCATCTCCTCAATTGGCATATAATCCCCCATGATCCTTGTGTTCAGCAACACCATTGCTGTACAATCTGCTGTGCTTGAACTTTGGTCAATCTCTTGCATGTACAGTCGAGTTCCGAAGAAGATCATCCCGGTGAGAACATCATTTAGAGTCTAATAAAGTCATTAAAAAAAGTTAATTACATTTTATAAATGTGGAAGAACCGCTTCCCTAAATTTTGTAATGTGACTTTTATTTTTTCTTTTTTCTTTTTTTTGGTCTAAACCACGAGATGGTCCTGGATGGGCCCCAACTATGGGTGGCACCTTTAAGCCTTAAAACAATTTTAACACTACGTACTATAAAGATTCAGGAAGCCAAGTATGAGAAAGAAAAGACATTACACATATAAGAGTCCTAGTAGTTGAGTCATCTTACCACTCCAAGCTTGTTCTTGATTGATTTGAGTTGATCAAGAGAGAAGGTCATAGTTGCTATAGTACTTGGCCGAAACTCAATTGCATCATTGCTCGACTTGATTGGTGTTGGATTATCTTCTTTCAAGGTCTTGGAAATGCCCCACCAAAAATCTGAAATTGTGTTACATGCAGATGAGAAAAGCTTAGTCATAAAAAAATTATCCCTCTTCTTCGATTCTGACCGCTGTCGTGAAGGAAAAGTTAAGGGGAGAGAAGGGTTGTCAGCTCTTTGTAGAGTAGAAATGAGAGCACCCATGAGAGAGTAGCCATCTCCTAGAGCATGGTGAAACTTGAAGATTATATTCCCAGCTGCATTGCTAGTTGGGTACTTGATAATATGAACTCCCCATAGTGGTTTGCCTTGTGGATATCTTTCTGTTGATAACTTTGACAAATATTCCTCAAGATACTCGTCATATGATTCAGGCGACAGGTTGGAAGGGAAAGTAGGGATGTTAACGTGATCTTCAAGCTTCACTTCGACCCTTTTCCACTCTTTCTTTCCATCATTTTCAACCTGTTTCAAAATCAAATATCGCTCAAGTTTTCAACTTCCTCTATGATAAAACTTGGAAACAAAATTCACACTAGGTGATATATTATTATAAATTGATAGAGGAGAGAGAGAGAGAGAGAGAGATCACCATGATAGAGGAGAAACGGGGGCTGATGGGGAGGAAGACGTTCTTAAGCAATGACATTATTGTTTGAGACTCGGTATCAATTGGAATCTCAAATTCCAAAACAGCAAGAACCGAAAGAGTTATCACATCACTACTGAAGTACTGGCCATTTGGGCTCACTGGCTCTAGTCCTTCCAAGTTCTCGAACACCATTGTCTTTGCTTTTACTTGAAATTGTATTTACTTCATAACACATCGGTTGTGCATTTATAGACATTCCCCAATCCTATCTTCTTCCCAAAAAAACACAAAACATATTTAATATTTGGTAGCTGCTATGATTCGTGATCACTGTCCTTCCAATTGAGGTGGCCCAATATTAAATCGAGACACGTCCATTTAATTTTCACCTTTTTAAAAAAAATTAGCTGTATCTATATATGTAAAGCAAAAGGAAGAGAATGGTGAAACATTCAAAATACCATAAAATGTCATTAGTTAATGCAAACATTAAGAATTGAAATTATTAATTAAATGAGAATAATATGGTAAATTCACACTTTTCATATTAAAAAAATTAAAATTAAAAGAAAATTCAAATAATGGATCCTATTTTTATGGAACAGAACTACCCATTATCTTTTTTAATTCTAAAATAAATTTTTAAATTTTTAAAAAAAACCTTTCGCAGGCGCGGAAGCGCATGCGGAGAGGCTAGTCTTAGGCCCCGTTTGGGATTGCTTTTTTTGGCCAAAAACCTGCTTCACTTTAAAGTTAAGCAGTTTAAGATGTTTGGTAAAAAGAAAATATCCCGATTATTTTAAAAGCAATGGCCTTTTGACAGCAGCTTTTAAAAGCAGACTCTGGGTTGCTTTTCAAAGCTGCTTTCAAAAGAAGCATATATGAACATTTAATAAATTTTTTTAATTCCCAAAATACCATCATTCATTT